TTTTTTGTCCTCTTATAGTAAAAATTTGTTTCTTAACATATGTCTTATTATATAGTATGTGTTTCAGAACTCTAACATCAATATTACCAGAGTAAACGTACTGAGTAACATTTAAGATTTATATTTCTATTTGTCCTCCAATATAGTTTACTAATATACTTTATTATAGTTGGCATGTGTTGAAAAGTTAATGAAAATCACTCTTCGGTGTGGTTATCAATGTGATAAATTAGGTTTATTAGCTTTTCTTTGTATTTGATTTTGTATATTAAATTTTAGCATTATTGAATATGAATCAGTTACATGGTCTAAAAGTTAAAACTGTATGAAAATGGTTCATATCAGAGAAATCTAGTTAGCTCTTATGTCTCTCTTGCATTGCTAATCACTTTCTGTAGATTAGTTTGAAGTTTTTTCCTGTTTATTTTTGAAAAGTTAACATGTGTATTTCTATATTTACTGTTTCTTTTATTATTCAGAGTGTGTTCGTTGTAAAATTCCTTTAGAAATTTGGGTCTGTATATTAATTCTAGTGGTTACTTTTATACTCATATCATTTTCTCTAGTGTTTTTAGAGCTCCTGGTTTGCTTGTTTAGGCTTTCACTTTTCAATTTGCTGGTTTGAAGTGATATTCTTTGACTCTGATTTGAGTGGTCCATGCAATAGTGAATTCTTTGTGCTGTCCAATCTTTCAGTTTTCTTATTCCTGTTTTATTAGAATATATAAAACTATTTTCCAATTCTAGTCTTTGTCTTAACTGTAAGATTAAATATTTAAATTTTTAAATAATTTTTTGTATGGTGCTGGTGCTAGCCATTCTACCACTAAGCTATATCCCCAGCTTTAAAAAAAATTTTTTTTTTGGTTGGTTGTGGGGTTTGAACTCTGAGCCTGGGAGCTGTCCCTATGCTCTTCAGCTCAAGGTGAGTGTTCTACCACTTAAGCCACAGCACCACTTCTGTTCTTCTAGTGGTTAACTGGAGGTAAGAGTCTCATGGACTTTACTGCCCAGGCTGGCTTGGAATTGAGATCCTCAGATCTCAGCCTTCTGAATAGCTAGGATTATAGGCCCCAGACACCAATGGCCAGCCCAGCTTTTAAATTTTTTGAGATAGTGTTTCATTATGTAGCCTAGGATGACCTTGAACTCTTAGGTTCTTCTGCCTCTACATCTTGACTGCTGAGATTTACCAGTATGTATCACCACACCAGGCTTAAAAACTATGTTTGATACTCTGTACCAGCAATTTATCTTTGTCTCTTCAACAAGCTCTTGGCTGGATAAAGTTCATCTAATAAATATTCAAGGGTATTCTCTAAGTGCTATATTCCTTGAGTTCTAGTATGGTTTTTTTTTCCCCCCTAGATTTTTTAAGTACATGCTGGCTACATAGAAAGTCCTAGGCTGACACTTTGGCTGTTTCTTGTATAAAAATGTTGCTGTGTGTTTACTGCTTCATATTGTTTTTGGCAAGTCTGTGGGCCTGAGATGAGGCTCAAATGGAGCAATTTTCCTACTAGGTACTAGTAAGCACAAGTCCTAACTTCAAATCCCATTGTAGGTATTCAATCAGCCTGTTTCTTGTTGTTTTTTTTTTTCCTCTTTTTCTAAATTATGTTGAGTTTTGTTAGTTTTGACCTTGAGGCCCATAATCTTGTCTATATAATTTTTTCACTTATCCTTGTTATCTCTTTTGTTCTCATGATCTATTCCTCTTCTCTGTTTATTTTCATTTTTCTTCTTTCAGGTACCAAGATTTGTTTTTTCATTAGTCTTTTTTTTTTTGTGGTACTTGAGTTTGAACTCAGGCCCTGTGCTTGCTAGACAGGTGCTCTTCCATTTGAGCCATGCCCTACCCTACTAGTTTTTGTTGCTTTGAAGAGGCAGTGTGTGGTGGTTTGAACTCAGGGTTTGTGCTTGCTAATCAGACAGGCACTCTGCCAGTTGGGCCACACCTCCAGCCTTTATTTTTCAGGATTTTAATCTTTTTCAGTACATTGCTTGAGTTTGAACAACACATATATTTTAAATTTTTGCGTACTTAATCATGTTTAATTGATGTTAGAGTATTGTAAGTTGTTTTTTCCTGCTTTATATTTTCTAATGGGATTAGTTAATTAAGATCCTCTCCACTGCTGGCCTGCAGTCATACTAGGTGCTGAGCATTGTACCACTGAGCTATACCTCCATAACATTTTTGGTTTTGTCCCTGTATATCACCAAGGCTGTGTGATTGAATGCAAAAGTGAATGAGATTTGGTGTTATTAACTAGCAGAGAATACAGAAGCGGCTGATTCAGGCAGGGATGAGGATGAGAAGTATTGGTGGGTGAGTCAAGGGCCTGAGCACATCCCAACAGTCACTTGGATTCTGAGGTCTGCAGTTAAGTCATAGCCAGCCTGGTGCTGGTGGCTCATGCCTGTAATAGGATTCAAGTTCAAAACCAGCTACAGGCAGAAAAGTCAGACTCTTGTCTCTTTAACTCACCAGCAAAAAGTCAGAAATGGAAGCATTTAAAAAGAAAATTGTAGGGGCTGGGAAGGTGGCTCAGTGGTAGAGTGCTTGCCTTGCATGCCTGAGGCCCTGGGTTCGATTCCTCAGCACCACATAAGCAAAAAGAAAAAATGCCGGAAGTGGCGCTGTGGCTCAAGTGGTAGAGCGCTAGCCTTGAGCTGAAGAGCTGAGGGACAGCGCCCAGGCCCAGAGTTCAGGCCCCACGACCGGACCCAAAAAAAAAAATTGTAGTACTGGTGTTTGGCTCTCAAGGCCTCTTTGCATTTGCTAGACAGGCACTCTGCTACTTGAGTCACAACCCTAGACCTTTTTGTTTGTTACCCGTATTCCCTAGTCCCTTTATCCCTGGGGACCAGTGTAGATCATGATCTTCCAGCTGGGATGACAAGGCTTATTAGTACTACCGCACTCAGCTTATTGAGATGGGAGTCTCGCTAACCTTTTGGCTGGGCTTCAAATCTGATCCTCCGGATCTTGTCCTCCTGAGTAGCCTGAATAAGAGATGTGAGCTATTGGTGCCCATACATTTCTTAAAGATAATATTGGTGCAGCAGGATAAATGATTTTACCAGCCTACTGTAGCCATCTAAAATTCCTGGCAAGTTAGTTAGGAAATCTTACATTACTTTGAACAGCTTCAAGTTGAACTTCATCTAAACTTTCTTTCTTTTTTTTTTTTGTCGGTCGTGGGGCTTGAACTCTGGGCCTGGGTGCTGTCCCTCAGCTCTTCAGCTCAAGGCGAGCGCTCTACCACTTGAGCTACAGCGCCACTTCCGGTTTTCTGGTGGTTTATTGGAGATAGGAGTCTCATGGTCTCTCCTGCCCGGGCTGGCTTTGAACCGCGATCCTCAGATCTCAGCCTCCTGAGTAGCTAGGATTATAGGCGTGAGCCACCAGCACCCGGCTCATCTAAACTTTCTACATGAGAGTATTCCTTAAAATGAATGAGTTCACTTATCAATGGACAATATGCCTGGAAATATGTATCATAAATATATCTTCATGGAAATTGGTTTATTTTCCATCTCTAGTCACTATAGAAATAGGGGGAGGAGGACATTTAGTGAAAATTTACTTTAAAATCATTTCAAAAACTTAGAGAAGTTGCAGGAAGAATTTACACATTCACTACATCCTGCATTTTCCCTTTATCTTGTAAATGTTGGTTTATCATAGCCCAATATAACAAATCACTCTAAAGCTTAGTGTTTAAAACAAGTACATTTTGGACTGGGAAGGTGGCTCAGTGGTAGAGTGCTTGCCTTGCATGCATGAAGCCCTGGGTTCGATTCCTCAGCACCACATAAACAGAAAAAAGCTGGAAGTGGTGCTATGGCTCAAGTGGTATAGCACTAGCCTTGAGCTGAAGAACCCAGAGTTCAACCGACAAAAATAAAATAAAAAGTACATTTTAATCTTACTGTGTTTGACTCAAAATCCCTGAGTCATTAAGTCACAGGATTCTAAGAGTATCAAAGTTGTAGTCAGGACTAGGGGCCTGGCTCAAGGAGAAGGTCCCAAGTTCATGCCTGGTTTTGGAGGGGTAGGAGGATATTAAAAATTGTGGTCAGGTTATGGGCAGTGGTTGCAGTCAGCTCAAAGCCTGACTAGGCTTGGAGGATGCACCTCCGACATGGTCCACAGGTGGGTAAGGTTCCACCTGTTCTGGACAGCTGGGTCTCTCCATAGCTCCCTCAATAGCCTCTACACAGCAGCTGGCATCCCCCAAACTTTGGGACACCAAATGAATCAAACAGCTAAGCTAGCAGGATGCAGTCCTTTTATGACCTAGCCTGTGAAGTCAATGCTGTCACTTGTCTCTAAACTATGAGACAAAAAAGCATCACTAAGCCCAGCCAAAGGGCAAGTGTATATATTGCTGAGCTTGTGAATATGTATTAGATCATTGGACCCAGGTTCACTGTTTCTTAACATTTTGCGAAAAATTTTGCTCTGACACGTTTTTCCGATCTCCTAACCATCCGATCTCCTTCCTCATCATGGTAGGTAGCATGCATTGTATCTCCCTACTACTCTAAAGTATATATCGAAGGGATTTTTACACTTAATTTTATTTTGCCAGTCCAGGGGCTTGAACTCTGGCCCTGGGCGCTGTCCCTGAGCTTCTTTTGCTGAACCACTTGAGCCACAGCACCACTTCCGGCTTTTTCTGAAATTAATTGGCGCTAAGGGTCTTCTCACAGACTTTGCTGCCCGGGCTGGCTTTGAACCGCGATCCTCAGCTCTCAGCCCCCCGCGTAGCTAGGATTACAGGCGCGAGCCACCGGCGCCCGGCTAAGAATATTCTTTTTCCTTTTTCTTTGTTATAATTGCTTCTAGCACGGTAGTTATCGAAATCAAAATGTGAACACTAGAAATACTTGTTCAAATGCCACTTGGGTTACTTGTGCTACTACGACCCCAATTGTAAACTATGAAGAGGGTGGTGGCTCACCGGCACGCACGGGCTGTGTGTGGAGGAATGAAGAACCGGCCCCGGGGCCGCGGCGAGCCCGCCCGGCCCCACCGGGCGCCGGGGGCCCTGGCACCCGCCCCCGAGCGGCCTGACCCACCGTCTCTCCCCGTCGCTCGGGCGTCTCGCGCCGGGTCTGGAACACACCTTTGCACAGCAGCGCTGCCCTTTCGTCCGCCGGGAGAAGAAAACTTTTCGGAACAGGTTTCTCCATCGGTGAGGGGGTCAGTCGCAGATCCCACCGCCCCGAACTGCGGGGAGAAGCCAGCGGTGAGCCCAAGCACCGAGCTCCAGGGGGGGCCGCGCCGCGCCGCGCCGCACGCGCGAACCCGCCGAAGTCTCCGCGTCTCCTCCCGGCCTGCGCCGGCGAG